ATCTGTAAGCTGCGCTGATCCTTTACCAAAAAGATTCTCTGAATGATGATCCTTTACCAAAAAGATTCTCTGAATGATGAAAACAACTGCATTTACTGTGAGGGTGGGGAGGCCCTGGAACAAGTTGCCCAGAGAGGCTGTGGATGCTCCATCCCTGGCAGTGTTTAAGGCCAGGCTGGACGGAGTCTTGGATGACACGGTCTAGCGTGTGGTGTCCCAGCCTGCGGCAGGGGAATTGGAAGTGGATGATCTTAAGGTCCTTTCCAACCCAAACCATTCTATGATTCTGTGAAAAGAAAATGGCTGGCTCCCTACGGGGAAAAATCAGGTTACTCTGAAAAAGACAGGTTACTCTTCCAGTCACAGAGCCAGCATTAACATCATGGAGTGAGGCTTGAGGTGGTGATAACAATGTTACCTCAATCATAATAAGTCAACATACAGGTTTTGATTACACAGAATAATATGCAGAATAACACTACCACCTTCTCTCGTGCAGCTTTTGAACCAGACACCTTCATGCTTAGGGTGATACTGCAGCTGTCATCTCATCCCTCTTTGGATGAGAAGGTTTCTTCTTCACATCCTGTCTGGTACCTTGTACACTAGAGAGAACAGACCATATGTATGTGAAAGAAGCAAACCCTCACACTCTGGGCTGAGGAGATATTAAGATCTCTTGATTGAGTATCTTGGTGGTACTGAGCACAACTCAGACGCCTTACCACTTCACCAGAATTAAATGTTTTCTCTCGCTATTGTATGTCCACTTAAGAGCCTCTTTAACACTGCAGTTTAATATTCATGTCATCAACACTGCTGTTAAAACCAAAATGGTATAAATAATGAATTAATATGTATGTGCAGATCTCTATTTTGCCCAGCATTTCTTACACCCTTTTTATTGGAGCCTCGGAATTCTGAAAGCAAATCCAAATGTTCTTCCTCCTTAAGCCTGACTTTGTTGTTGCCATCACTGCACAAATCAATAGCTCCACCCAAATGGACCGCTCCTGCCAGTGCTAACAGCAGTTGAACTACATTGATATGCCAGGCAGACCCTCAACAGGCATGGGAATGATCTGGTTTCATCAGCTTTGCTTACTGAATTGTAATAAATTTAGTAGTCAGGTCTGTCCTTCACTGCGCAGGGCCTGCAAGGACTCTACTGGGCTAAAATGTGCATGACCATGGCACAGGCCTTCCAGATTAGGAGCCTATTTGATGTTAGAGCCATCTCAGTGAATTTACTGTGAAGGCACTCTCATATAAGCAAGCAAAGCAAAACCATACAAGGTGCATGACTCAGCTTCAGCTGGGGTTTGCCTTCAGAAAGCAAAACTTGGGACTACATGATCGGTAAGCAAAAGTGAACTCCTTTCTGCCTCAACAGAACAAACTCCATTTGGCAGAAAGTGAACTCCTTTCTGCCTCAACAGAACAAACTCCATTTGGCCCTATCTCTGCCTTTTGGGAGGGAATTTTGAAAAACAATCTGTACATGGACTTTCGTTTGGTTTGTTTTCCCTGGTTTTTGAAAACTTCATTGGAGTAGACTTTTTTATGACTATGCTTTTAATCCAAACTCTACAGTAAGGCCCAGCTTGAAATAAAAAGGAGACAAGACCATCAAAGGGTCAATTGTCAGTTTCAGTTTTAAAATTATTTGGGTACAATGAAACCTGAAATATACCACCAATATTAGGCCTAGGGCAAGACTTTTCAATACTATGTGTAACCCAGGAGATGCAGAGGTTAAATTTCAAATTTGCTTAAGATGAAACACCCGAAGTAGCATGGACTTTTAAAGCCATTTTACTATCAGAAGTGCATTCAAAGGGTGTTCTTACCTTCTTTGATATTTATCAGATAAGTATACATTTTGTGGAGCTGCAGCTGCCCCACAGTCAATGATGGAGCTATATTTGTTTTTTATCCTTGAAGTTATGGTCTGATCAAGTAAAAAGACCAATTAGTAAAGACTACAAATTTATGTAACTATAAACTATATTCAGTATGTTCTGTCACCACAGAGAACAGATGAGTTTTTAACATCACTAGTCTGTAGTTCAACACTTGCTCAAACATCCAGTTTTGGGAAGTGCCACAGTTTTTAAAGATTTTGATGAAAGCCAGGCATTAAGAAGTTAGGTGCCTTTCCTCAAGGCAACATCTTACTCAGATCAGGAGACCATTTTCCCTTCCTGCTCTTGAAAAGCACTTTGCCATTCACTCAGTATGTCCTATTAGCAGAAAATAGGGAAAGTTCTGATGCATCATAGCGTGTGTCTGAAATTCTAATTAACAAGAAGTCATCTGTAGTTGTCCAACATCATATTATTAATTCAGAAAGCAATAAAAGGATATATTTCAGACTGAAGAAGAAGATACGTAGTGAATGGGGTCATAGTATTTCACTACACATAATTTGTCATGATCTTTAACTATTTCAAACCAATAGAAGTCAAGTTGTACTATGCCTTACCTTGAATATAATTTATCACAAATAAAAAGTAGTTACACTGATATGTTTTATTCTCATGAGCTTAAAATCTAAATTAGATCTAAATCTGTATAACCCAGGGTTCCATAAGGAAGTGTATTTTTACTGTGACTATGTAGACTTTTGTTCTTTATGTATTTTTGAGCAAGAAAAGCAATTCTAGGGACATTATAATATGCTTTCTGGCATTATGATCAATACATACATTCATTTATTTAAAATTCTATTTAGTATCAGGAACAGTAGATTGGATAATTCATTAAAAAAGCACATCTCAATTAAATTCTAATTAACTTTACATTCCAAAAGTCTTAGGGAAGACGCTTTTTAACCTACACCTCTTCAAAAATCAAGACTTTTCAAAATATATTGTCACTAAGTAAAAGTTTCATCTTCCTTCCTATTTAAAAAAAAAAAAAAGTTAATTCTGAACTACAAGGAAACCCAAATCATTCATTCATTCATTATCTTTCCAGCAAGAGGATGTGCAGTTACTAGAATTTTATACAATTAGTGCTCTGAGAGTCCTTTAAATACAAACCTATGAGAGGAAAGTGAAAACAAATCGAGTTCATTGTGACTGGCTGGAAAAAAATGCTTAAATCAATATGACTATGACTCATCTGCTCATCATTTAGCCATTACCTGGGAGACAAGGACCTCCTGCTATGCCTGATTTTTTAATTTTTTTTAATAGAGATTTACACTGCCTCAATTCTGCAGACACATATGAAGCCAAAGTCATTCCAGACTTGCCCTGTAGTACTGTTTACTCTTCATATCTGATTTTATTTATTCCTGTTTGTTCTTTACATTGGATACAGAGATAAACACATACAAATATTGGTATGTTCAAAGAAGTTTAGTACAACAGCAACGGAGGGCAAAAGCCACCATCTCACATTTATAACATCCCAAAGAAAATTACAACATAATGATTTTCCTAAAGAAGAAAACATAGGTTTTAAAATATTTTCTTTGAATTAAACCTTACAATGAAGAAGAATGCTGCATGTTTTAGAAGTATTTTGAAGTATTAAAAAAAAAAAAATAAATCAAAAGCAGGGTTAAAACTTGTTTGTAGTGCAAGTTCAGAAACAGAAATTTTATTGTCTGGTGTTCAACGTACAAGAATCCTAAGAACATAAGGCATATAACTAAGGAAAAGGACATTTTGGTGTCCCTATGGACACACAAGGCTTAATCCTTATCCTACTGGCACCAATAGAAATCCCAAATCTGCTCAAGTCAGTGGTGTTTGACCAGGGTCTGACACTGGGATGAGAATCAGAGACGTGTATATGCCTGGCTTTTACTGAAAGCCACAAAACTTCCCCAGAAAAGTGGCCCCTGGGTTTTTAGGCAGTACATGTCTGGGCAGCAAATGCTACTTGGTCATAATTGTGACAAAGCAAAGCCTTTAATTCTGGTTCCTAAACTGGAATACATGACCATTTCTTCTCTTGGGGAGATGAAACAGGAGTCAGTGCCATCTCTGTAAGAAAAGCCTATGATGCAACCTCAAAATAAATACACTTATTTGCATATACAAACACTGGAACCACATATGCATCCACTAATATCCTTTCTTTAAACTGTTAGGAATATCACATATGCTACAGCTCACACCAAGCAGAATAATGAGGGAGGTGTTGTTTCTTGATATTTTTATAAGTTCATATAACCCTACTGTCAAAGCAACTCTAGGTTTATCAGAGCTATCATATAAAAAAGGACTTATCATAAGCAAGGTTATTTAATACTCATCTGTCTTAACTTCAGCCCTCTCTCAGGCCTGTGTGTATAAACTCTTTATTACAGCCTAATCACACCACAGTTACAGAAAGACAAACTCTGAACTGAATGGCTACTGTCACCTCCTTCTCTCTTTTCCTTTCTCAGGAGGTTAAACGTGGAAAAAAAATTATAAAAAAATAAAGTCTACTCGATGTGTGTCTAAAAAGAAGTGTAAATAGGTATGGAAAACCTATGAGAAAACTGTTACGGAAGGTGCCTAAATGGCAAAGTGCAAAGTGTGACAAGAAAATTATGTTGGCATACAAAAGGCACAAGAATAAGAAAGATATGGTACAATAGATAGCTGGCGTGAGCCTATCAACTGGCTGGTGGCTTCTGTTCCACCCACCTCCCCCTCAATATCTTCATTTTTTTGTTGTTATAAAGGACATTCATGATCAGTAACAATGTTATAATGATAGCAAATGCAGGATTTAAGGTGTATAAAACCTTCAGCCAACATTAGAAAGCCACCAAGGGGGAGTTACCTTGCACAAGGTTCTATTTAGTGATGTCTCCACTCTTTCACTCCCTGACTGCAAATCAGCATTTTTAGTGGACAATAGGCTCAGCAGTGGCCTTATGATTGCCTCTTTTCAAATGGAAATGGTTATCCTAACTCCTCTGCCAGGTTTTTCTTACTATAGCACAAATTGCAGTTTAAAAGGCTCGGGGGGGGGGGGGGGGGGGGGGGGGAATCTTAGCTGAATATCTTTTTTTTTATTCGACAAACTGACATGTAAATTACCCTTTAAGTGCTCCACTCTAGGGCTCTGATCATCTCCTAATTGTCACAGTCAATTGTAGCCAACAGTCTCTTCAATCCCAAGCGCTTTGACAACAAGCACAAGGATCAAAGCAGAATCAGCTCCCTTCAATATCCTTCTGTTTAGGATGCTACAAAAATCCTGAAAAAGAAAGGTGTAAGGGCATTAGTGGAGAAGGAACTGAGAGTAGAAAGTACTATAGCTGTTAATTTTCTTCTTCACTAATATCATATATCCTTATATAGTCTGTTATCCCATGTTCAGTCGGAATACATAAACATCCCAGAGAATAAATAGTTTAAAATGACTCGGATATATTAGTACTTAAAAATAAATTCATAATGCATTTCTGCTGCCTTCTGTATGCCTCCCCTCATCTTTCCCCCTCCAGATTTCACCTCCCCTCTGGGAAGGAGTAGAACAGCTATTATTTTTTAAGCAAATTCATTTTTTTCCTAGAGCAGTCCCACAGTGTCTTCCAGGATGAACTGGGTTGCAAACCAGCCTATTCTACTGGAAACCAAATTTTATTCATGTGGTTAGTACAACTTAGACATGTAGCAGGTTATTCATGCAGCTCTGCTTTTGCTTTCTGAAGTGCCTATAACCAACCCATGGTCAGGCAGAGCCTGGAGTAAAACCCTCTCATTCAGTCCAGCTCTAGAACAGCCAGTTTCAGTCACATCCAAAATGGACTAGGAAGAAAGACGAGAATAAATACAGCAGTCCTAAAGGTCTTCCCAGGTTAAAAAAATATATATATTTGCTATAATTCTGAAAGAAGGTTCACCTTTTGTTGTATCCAAGACCACTTTAGATCAGCACCATGCTACATCACTTAGATTTTTGTACTAGCTTGCTGTGTTTGATGATATGAGCTTGCTTGCTCTGAAATACTCTTTCATACCCTCAGTGCCTCACAGACACTCAAAGTAAGCCTTGTTGAATTCATGTTTCTAGGGAATAGGAGTAAGGCGGAGCTATTCTAAGTCATATTTTTACTTCAAAACTTGTACATATCCACGAATGTAGCAGTAACTCCCACAGAGGCTCACAAACAGCTTCTGCCACACAGGCTGCAGGGGAGGAATAGCACGGCTCCTGCAGAAAATGTGCTGCTGGAGTGGGAGAAAGCCTGCAGGATACCAAGGAAGAAAACTGGGAATGTGCCAAGCTCCAGAGTAACTCAGAAGGATCTCCAAATGGCTAAAGAGGCTCTACAGGGTTAGACAACCAAATCCTTTTGGCATCTCCAATGATCTTGCTGACATACAGAAAGGAAGCAAGTGACTACATCCATTATCCTGGAGCTCTGTATCTCCCACTCCTGCAAAAGATACTTCCCACAAGAGATTGCTTGAGTGCCTGAAGTCCATGGGAATTTGCAGGTGAAAATTTATTTGCTCTTTCATGAGAAATTAATTCACTTCTTACAGCTATTTTTAAGAAACCAACATATTTCTTAAAGATGACACACCTTATCCACTGGCTCACATAAAACTGGAGGAATTGTTAGAGAGAGCTGAATGAGTTTAACAACCTGTTGCCCCCATCTTATGGGTCCCACTTTCAACGCCCAAATTCTGGGTTTCTGTGTGCAAGATGAGCTGAATTAGATTCACAGACCAGCAGAAACCCAGTCATTTGTGTACCAGGACTCCCAGTAAAGGCTTGCAGGTAGATGTTCCTAAACCATTGCCTACATCATGCTCCCCAAAGAAGACCAAAAGGTTTAAGATGCAAATAATAACCTTATTTGCACACAGGAAAGACTTGGAGCTCATAGAGAAAACGCCGCAGATACAGTGAGACTTCCTACAGAGATGCCTCTGCACACATCCACTGCTTCCTGCTCCTGCCTGCACCCACCGCCTTGTACCCAGCCATGGTTAGAGCCCCTGGCACCACCTTCCACACAAAAATGAGTTAGAGATGCTAGATGTAGATAACACACTAGAAAAAGACTGGTAAGAAAAAAGTGTTTTCAATAATGAATAGGAACAAAAAGTCAAAATTTCTCATGGGAAAGATATTTTTAAAAATGTTGAATGAGAAACATCAAAAGCACTCATTCGAATGATGTGGAAATAATATAGAAGGTTAATCTAATATATCATTTAAAATAAATACAAAACCAAAATTATAAAATTGAAGTAAAACTTTGGTCTTGTGAAGATGTTTTATTTCCATATCATCAAAGGAAAATATTTTAACTCTTTCTGAACAAAAATTTAACTGAAAAAAGCATATTCTAAAGAAAATTTTCCAGCTTAGTGAAATGTGCTTTCCCTACCAGTGAATTTACAAATATTTTGCAGCTTTGTATAAAGATCAGTATCTTCCCCGGAGAGATGAATTCTGAGGTGGCTTCAGTTAAAATGTTTATAGTATTTTCCTTAATATTCCACCACACAAGGCAAACCCCTTTATCTTCTAGGAAGATTATTCTAAGACACTAGGACACCTTCCAAATGAAACGTTCCCAACATTAGCAAATTGTTCTATGACAATTTAGCTCACTAGAATTAACTTGGTATAGAAAGATATTTTCACCTCTTCATTTACCCTCAGAATGCCACATGCCAAGAAAGAACTGCAAGGTCACCTGGAATGCAATTAACTTTTTTTTCCTAAACTATGCTTATTTAAACAACTGAAACATTTCCAAATAACAGGACATCAGCCAACAGAGCCTGCACTGTTTTCTCATTTTGCTTGAAAATGCGTCCACATAGTTATTACAACTTATTATAACTGTTCGTTCTCAGCTTTGCCTGCAAAGCTGTTGCTGATAGTCTGCAGAGAGATGAATAGAACAGTAGTCCTGGACATTTTCCTTAGCTGCAAAATCATAATAAATAAGGTTAAAATAATATTATTTTGCTATCAGTGTTTTTCTATTGAGGTAATCCCTATCATGTTTGCAAAGTACAAATTTCATTACCAGAAAGTAGTAGAGGGTCCACATGACTGTGAAGGGAAGGGATGTGGCAATTTTCTCTTAAAATAAGACACACATCATGGAAGAAGTTGAAAAAAGCCCTGCCCTATCAGAGAATATGTTGTTTCTTTCAATGCAAGGAACCCACAGCACTTGAGAGTGTTAGACAGACTAAGCCGTTTTTTGCACATGACTATTTCACGATACTTCAGAAGTTGCAATTTATTACGGGTGATTGAACGATTGCCTTGCATGACTGTAACAAGGGGAAAGTTACCATGATATTGCTTATGCAATGGAGCAGCAGGCAAGAAAACAGCTCCTCCAGCTGCGTCCCACACAGAGCAACAAGTCATGGGGCTGCCTAGGAGCACAGGGACTCCTCTGAAAGCGTTACCCCAAAAAGGGAGCACTGAATGTCCATCAGAAGCATGGTTTACTGACAGGATACTGGTGCCCTTTCTTACAGACTTTAACACCCCCCCCCCCCCCCAGTCTGGTTGTAAAGGAATAATAGTGTTCATTGTGTTACTGACATTTCTCTCAGAGGGGGGTGGCTTTTCAGTAAGCAGTTATATTTCCTAATTTAGTTCTCCACCACAATCGTGGATTTTTGCAGCCCTTATTTTTATGCTTCTAAAAAGCAAAAGGATGAAAGGTTACATTTGGGAAGTCTTGAAGTGACAACCAAAGCTGCAGTGATGTGATGTGACATGAAAGTCCATGGCCACATAACCACTTCAGGACTATTGCAAGGTTACTGATACGGCTCCTAAATTACCAATGATAAACTGATGTGCTCTGGTCATTAAATTCTTTTTCAGTTCAGTATTTCAGGCAACAAAGACATGCTATTTCTCTCTGGAATGCCTTGCAGGTATCAGTGCTGAGTTTGTCAAAAACTCAGCATCAAGCCATTACCTTTGCAACAGCCAAAGCTATGTGAAGTGCCTTGAGAAGTCCTTAGGAAGCCATCTGCTTAAACCTTAGCTGGGACTTGTTTTAAGGAAGTCACATGCTGCATTTTAAGTGATTATTTCTCAACAGAGCTCAGTGGTAGGGGGAGAGGGCTGGTGGCCACAGCTCCTTCTGTGCAAAGACAGAGATTCAAGCTGGTGGTCACAGGACTTATACTGAAGGAGCTAAGTTGTGTGCAACTGCTTGCTCTTGGGGAGAAGAGGCTTTCTTGGGTGTCTTCATTGCTCATTAGCACAGTTTCTACTGCAGTTAGCTCAACCATAAAGCTTCTACTCTAGCCACATCCTCCTAAGCCCAGGAAAAAAATTGCAATGCCTTTTTATAGAGGAGGACATTGGGACTGTTTTAACAGTGGGATCCAAGTTGACTAAAAGCTAATAAGAAGAGAAGCCACTGTTCAGTGAATTCACCAAAGTCATAAAAAATTGGTTTCAGAGCTAGGGCCACAGCATGGCAGCTCCCAAGTCCTAATCCGTGCTCAGGCTGTTTGGTATCACAAAGACCTTCCTGCTTTTAACTCCTGCTAGGTCAGCACTAGGCAGCTCCATACATTGAGGACATTTCCCACTTTCAGGCTCATGAACGACAAAATACAGAACAGGATCATCATTCACCATCACTGACATTAGAACTTGATTGTAAAGAGAGCTGTTTCAAATAACAACCAGAGTTAGGAAAGCATGTCTAACCACACATATATTCAGAAGACTATTATGCAGCGTATATCAGCTCAGACACGAGCTTGCTTCATAAAACTGGTTTCAATATTGGATTTTAAGTTTATGGCATCTGATAGAGTGAATATAGGCATTGTTTTACAATAGCAGAATTTCTGTCTATTACTAATCTGTAGTTTAATTGACACTAAGAACAAAGAACCACAAGAATAGATTGAGTGCCCATTTTTCACAGCCCATCTATCTTGCATATAGTTACTGGGGACTCATATACCACCAGTTCAGAAACATGCATAACTGCTTATGGTCAACATCGTATCAGTGCCAGATCACACATTAAACAGATAACCACCATTATTATAAGAGCAACTTCCTTGACCTCATATTTTGGTCTGGCTCTGAATTTCTGTACTTTACCAGTTTGGTTTGTTGCATTATGCCAGCCTTCTGCCTGTACATGTCATCTTCTACTCCTGTAAGTGACCAGTGCAACAGAGAGCTTCCTATAAAAATGTATTTTTGAGCACACAAATGGAATAAATTCAAGAAATATGATCACAGTTGCTCCTGCAATGTTTTTATAAACACAGAGTCTCTGCTTTTTTATTATAGTTAAGGTACAGTGTGTTATTTGGCAGAGGAATCTCACTTCAAAATGTAAAAGGTTCAGGCAACCACATATTTGGAAGTAGAAATCTTTCCTTAAAACATGGCTCTGGTTTTTAAACATAGCAAAATTTCTGGAAACTTCAATTTCTTAAAGTCTGCCAAATCTCCAGTCACATGTAACATATTCTTGGGGCTTACATATAATGTTTCAAGTAATAAACAACATCTTGTTTAGTGCAGGAAGGAAAAAAAGGGGGGAAAGTACTCATTAAGAGTCAAAGCTCTACCTCAGTACTAAAAACAAAACATGTTCCTTGCAATGAAACCTCAGAATAACTTTTATGATGTATTAATAAGAGATTCATGTGCTCTTCAAATTTTTAATAATTGCAGTTAAAATAGTAGGTTAAATCCTTACAGTAATTAGATAAATTATGTTACAAAAGAAAGAACATTTCATATTTGTTGAAGCACACTCAGACTTTCAATAACAAAGAAAAATTCTGTTCATCTTAATTTGATAACAGAAGGAGTTACATATTGTACATACCTATGCATCGTCAGTAGCCCTTCAATGCTCTCTAAATTCATTTATCATGCATGTTTTATTCAGGAACAAGGCTGTATTTAAAAAAAGAAAAAAAAAGTTGTTTCCATATGAAGGCTCATCATGCAGAATATTCATAGCTTAAATATATGCACACTCATCTCTTCTAGTCAGACACCATTTCAGTCCACTCATCAGAATACACATTAACAAAATGATATTGAGATACAAAAACAGCATACTGCAGCCAGGATTGAAGTATGGGCCATAATACCTACCTCACTGGTTCTAGTAAGGTTTAATTAATTAATGCTCATGAGTTTCTAAGATCATCACTTCAGTTCATCATAACCCCAAATTTTTGTATCCCACTTTTTCCCTTAGCTCAACAGTGAGTTTATTTTGGAAGGTGGTGCATTTATAGAGTAATGAACAGATGAAAGCAGTTGGAGTGATTTGCAGGAGGATAAAAGGGAGCAGGAATCTTTCCCTTTTTCTTTTGCTCGTCATTTGGTGTCAGGTTTAAGAAGAGCATGAAGCTTCATGTTATGCAAGGCTTTTCTCAAGAAGCAACTCCTGACCAAAACTACAACAGAAAAATATGCAAGAACATTACATCAAAGAATTTGGTATTAGTTTGGGAAAGTTCCATGCTTATATTTACGTTAATTAAAGATGCGTATGAACCACGAATCTCAGAGGGTGCATGGATGCAGGCATTTGGTTCTTGTCTCATTTCTAATAATTATTAGATACATTGGATGGAAATAGAATCATAGAATCATAGAATAGTTAGAGTTGGAAAGGACCTTAAGATCATCTAGTTCCAACCCCCCTGCCGTGGGCAGGGACACCTTACGCTAAATCATATCACCCAAGGCCGCATCCAACCTGGTCTTGAACACTGCCAGGGATGGCGCATTCACAACTTGCTTCAGCAAGCCATTCCAGTGCCTCACCACCCTAACAGGAAAGAATTTCCTTCTTATATCCAATCTAAACTTCCCCTGGTTAAGTTTTAACCCGTTACCCCTTGTCCTGTCACTACAGTCTCTAATGAAGAGTCCCTCCCCAGCATCCCTATAGGCCCCCTTCAGATACTGAAAGGCTGCTATGAGGTCTCCATGCAGCCTTCTCTTCTCCAGGCTGAACAGCCCCAACTTTCTCAGCCTGTCTTCATATGGGAGCTGCTCCAGTCCCCTTCTCTGGACTTGTTTCAAGAGTTCCATGTCCTTTTTATGTTGAGGACACCAGGACACCAGAACTGCACACAATACTCCAGGTGAGGTCTCACAAGAGCAGAGTAGAGGGGCAGGATCACCTCCTTCAACCTGCTGGTCACACTCCTTTTGATGCAGCCCAGGATACGGTTGGCTTTCTGGGCTGCAAGTGCACACTGAAGCCGGCCCGTGTTCATTTTCTCATCAGCCAACATCCCTAAGTGCTTCTCCGCAGGGCTGCTCTGAACCTCTTTTCTGCCCAACCTGTAGCTGTGCCTGGGATTGCTCCAACCCAGGTGTAGGACCTTGTACTTGGCATGGTTAAACTTCATAAGGTTGGCATCAGCCCACCTCACAAGCGTGTCAAGGTCCCTCTGGATGGCATTCCCTCTCTCCAGTGTATCAACCGAACCACACAGCTTGGTGTCATCAGCAAACTTGCTGAGGGCGCACTCAATCCCACTGTCCATGTCAGCGATAAAGATGTTGAACAAGACCGGTCCCAACACCGATCCCTGAGGGACGCCACTCGTTACTGGTCTTCAGACAGACATTGAGCCATTGACCACAACTCTTCGTGTGCGGCCATCCAGCCAGTTCTTTATCCACCGAGTGGTCCATCCATCAAATTGATGTCTCTCCAATTTAGAGACAAGGATGTCATGTGGGACAGTGTTGAACGCTTTACACAAGTCCAGGTAGATGACATCAACTGCTCTACCCCTGTCCATCAGTTCTGTAGCCCCATCATAGAAGGCCACCAAATTGGTCAGGCAGGAGTTCCCCTTAGTGAAGCCATGCTGGCTGTCACCAACCACCTTGTTGATTTTCATGTGCCTTAGCATGCCATCCAGGAGAATCTGCTCCAAGATTTTGCCAGGCACAGAGGTAAGACTGACTGCTCTGTAATTCCCTGGGTCATCCATTTTCCCCTTCTTGAAAATGGGGGTTATATTTCCCTTTTTCCAGTCGTCGGGAACTTCATCTGACTGCCATGATTTCTCAAATATGATGGCCAGTGGCTTCGCAACTTCATTTGCCAGCTCCTTCAGGACCCGCGGATGGATCTCATCAGGACCCATGGACTTGTGCACGTTCAGATTTTTAAGATGGTCTCAAACCAGATCCTCTCCTACAGTGGGCGCAAGGTCTTCATTCTCACAGTCCCTGCATCAGCCTTCCAAGACTTGGGTGGTTTGGTCAGAGCCTTTGCCAGTGATGACCGAGGCAAAGAAGTCAGTCAGAACCTCAGCCTTCTCCAAATCCTGTGTAGCCAGTTCTCCTGAGAGCTTCCTGAGGGGGCCTACATTCTCCCTAGTCTGTTTTTTATTTGCTATGTACTTGTAGAACACCTTCTTGTTATCTTTAATACCTCTAGCTAAGTTTAATTCTTATCTAGCTAAGTTTAATTCCAAATAGTTGGAAAGAAAATTAATAAGAGAATGAATCAACAAAATTAATAGCAATTTCAAATACTTACATGTATAGGATTTCATTCAAGGGCACGACAAGATAAAATTAGTAGTCTCTAGTAAAGCAAAATATGGTTTGATCAAACTTCCCTTTGGTGGAATCTTCTTTAAAGACTTCAGATTTTTGCATTAAATAATTTGGGTTAGGGAACTTAATGAAAAAGAAAGGGAAGATTATCTGGTGAAATTCCAAGATTGCCATAGATTTCAGGGAAGAAACCAGATTAAGACAACAAAATTACTGGTGGGAGAAAAGCTGATAAAGAAGACTAGAATTTGATAATGGATGAATTTAATTATTCAGGTGTTGATTGGTATGATAACTATGTGGAAGCTAACAAAGTTTGTAGCTGCATTGCTATTAGTCCATTGAGCAACCCGTAGCTGTGCTGAGCCCCATACTTGGAGTTAAGCATGTATATTGTTATAAAATTAATTTTAATTATAAAATATAACTTTAATTAAGATTAATTTCAATTAAACTTTTAAAATTAATGATAGGAGCTTCAAGCCTCACTGTCATAAAAATCTTCATAGTTTTAAAGGATAAATCAATAAAAAACATTCTTAGCGAGAAAAGCTTGGGAGTTTCACAAAGTAAATATACTTGGGTCAAAAGAACAATCAAGAACATCAGAATGTGCTCTTATTATTCATTCAAAGACAAAAAACTTATGAACAATAAAAGTATTGACACAACCAATGGTGGGGGGGGAAATGTGACAATAACACACAATAGTGACAATCTGATAGCAGTGAACTAGGGGAAAATAAATATGCTTTTGTGAGGGGTGTTTTGTAGTTATTAAAAAGTTCTTCTGACTGGATTTCAAAGATGGGGCCTTATCTTTCAGGACTTACAAATATAGTTTCTCCTTTAGATATTTTTGTTCCTGGCATACCAAACCAAGGGCTTAGCAGTTTATAAATGGAATTGACCTCGTGCAGTCCCATGACCAGAAAATAAGTCTCCAGTTCCATATATTAGGTATTTAATATAATCAACAGATGTGGGAACAGGTACTTAAAATGCAGTTCTCCCTCAAGATGGAATAGCTCCAGCAAGAAGAGTGGGCAGCAACCACCAAGCTTGTTAAAGCTGAGGTCTTCATCTTTCAGGTCTCTTTCAGACCAATACTAAAATTGACTAGGTTTTCCTGTGGGCTGGACATACAGTTTCATCATAAACTTGTGTGGAAACAAGCACTCTGGCTGATGCTGCACTTTGTACAACACTGAAGACTTTTCATCTGCTATTGAAAGAAAGAAGTCTAACCCTGGTGTGGCAGATGTTAGGAACCACCACAGGATTTGGTGTGTTACCAGGCTGCTAAGTAGCACATGCAGAGCCTGTGGTGTCCCTAAAACCTTCCTGACATAAATGAATATTGTTTTCCCTAGCTGTTTCCTTGGCTTGTAGAGAAAGCTCAAATCTCTTATATCCAATTTCCATCCCATATTTCTATAATGAGAAGGCTGGTCCCAGGTTGGTCAAAACCTTTCCTAGCAGTCTTGCTTTCTCATTGGTTAAAACCATATTCATTCTTTTCATAAAAATTAATCCTCTTTCAGGGAGAAACCCAGTTTTCATTAAAAAAAAAAAAAAAACAAACCTTGGAAAAAATAAGATTTACTTTTACAGGAAAAAAAAATTCTGTTTGGAGCCATAACCACAATACTCCACTGCTTGTTCTTTGCCATGCTTTACAAGCCAGACTGTAGTTCATGCGAAGAATCACACTTCAACAGAGAGACCTGAACACCACAGGAGGCAGAGACCCTATTTATACAGGACGGTGGCACCCAAACTGCAGCATCTAAGAAACAGGCCCAGTAAGAACTAGATAATACAAATGTCATTTGGGTTAGTCTTAAATTTTTCACCTGGTTTCAGTTCAAGGGGAGGAACTATTTTCAGTTCTAAAGGGGTACTTTTCCAATATTACAATCAAACTAAGCATGAATCTAATATTAATAAACTACTTACTGTATTTACCAGAAATTACCAAGTTCCTCATTGTAATAGAAAGATCTACAGATGTGAACAGAAAGCTGGGAAGGATAGTAAACATTCTAAAACAGTAAAATAATTAAAAAATAAAGCATAAGAAACTGCTAATCTGAAACGCAGTATTATATAATGCATAGAATTCAATAAAACATTAAGAACTGTTTTTGCAGCAGCAAATAAATGTATAATTCTTGAGCCAAAGAAATCCATACAAAATGTGGACAGAGATCTGTAATAAATCAGAAATGTTAAGAAGCTTCCCAACAGTCATTTTGATCTCTTGGCAATGAAGTAAAGCAAGTGCAGTGCTTAAGGGTTAAGTCCTCATCTCACATAAATCAAGTTAACACCATTTAAGTTAGCAAAATGTATTCAAAGTCAAATTCATTTACTCCAGCCAAATATCTGTTCCTAACTCTATCCTTTGCATTTTTTAGTGCATTAACTATTTTAAAATATTCGGCTTTAAAGCCCAGTATACTTCAATGTAACCTCCATTACATATACAGACTTTTCTGTACACATGCATATGCAAAGTATCTATACATATGAATTTTTTTTAAGTCATAATATAAACAAATTAACATAACAGAATTCATAGCCATGAAAAATAGAATAGGAATAGTTTTGCAGGATTTAATGAGGAAATGAGCTGAAAATCCTAATTTGAGTAGAGTTAACCAATGTGGATATATGAACAGGAAATCTTGCTAAAATAATTTGTTGGAATTCTTCAAATATATCCCTGCCAAGGCAGACAAGAAAAATACTATGAATGGTATACAATATGCCTAGAATTTCAAAAGAGTTTGATAAGATCCGACATTGGAGATTACCGGCAAGGCACAAAGCCACTGCATAAATAATAACAAACTTTAATGAACTGATAACAGTCTGAAAACAGCATTCAAGGAATGACTTAGAGATTGGCAGTTAATACAGGGTAGTGCTTTGGTCAGGTTAGGAGCTTGTCTTGTCTCTAATCTATGTAAAAGAGTTAAATCAGAGTACCAAAAGTAGTATACCAAAATGTGCCAGGAACACAAAAGTTACAGGGGCTTTAACAACAGTTGTCTAACACCAGTTATAAATGCAAGATCCAGATCAACAGCAAATGCAACATCAGCACTGCCAGGAATGTGCTGCTGTGCTGGAGCACAAAGCTGATAAAGCAATGTAAACGGGGGTTTTATTTTGATGCAGTGGAAAATATGGAAACATGCTCCACATAGGCAGAGGGATGGAAAGAAATGGTGAAGGGTGTTACATGAGGGGCAGAGGGAGAACTAACTGCTGATCAGAGAGAAGGGAAGAGCTCAAGGAGGAAATGGAGTTCCAGGAAAAGGGAAGGAATAGGCAAGAGAATGCTTTGAGCTTTCTAATCATTAGAAGATGGGAAGTTTAGAGGAGATTAACAAATCTTTTTAAATCAAATAACTAAATAAATGAAACACCCTTTTTCTATCCTAATATAATGGATAAGTGTTTGGGTAAGACCTTTTACCCCAGCGATGGCTACCTCATGCTTTTACCGTAAGGGTCAGATAACAAAGCTAATCCTGTTTCCCTTGAACCCAAACCCCATGTAGTTTTGAAGCACTGCCCATCGCTTTCTGCCCCAAGAATGACAAACCTGTCCAGAATAGCTCAGTGTAACCAGCTGACCAAAGTACAAGTCAAGAGCCTCAGGGCTCGTTTCAGTGCTGCCGCAGCTCAGGTCTGTGTAGGAGGAGCTTCACAGCCGTTCTGATGCTTTTTCAGAAGCAGGGAAGAGATTATGGCTCCTAAATCTTGTTTACAAGAGTGTCTCTTCACTAAGAAACACAAATCTGTGTGCTCCTTTAAAACGGCCTGGGTCTCCTAAAACTTGGAGGAGTTTTGGGGACCTGAAAAAAAGCAGAGATGCCAGCTGGGACCCTGAAACTCACTCCCAGTGGGATTTCTTTTATATTCCCTAGGGACAGGATCCATGACAGGAAGGTGGCAGAAAGGAAAAGAAAGCAAGAACAAGACTCTGAAGTCCAATGGTTAGATACTTTGCCTAACAGAAGAATCTGTCCTCCAATAAATTTTGATTAAAAAGATGAAATTTAAAAGAATGCTAAACAGGGCTGAAAACCTCCAGCATCCGATATTGTTTAACTGAAGACTTTTTAGCAGTCATTTTATCCTTGACAGTAACTACAAAAAATTTCAACATGTATTTAAATAAAACATAGCATTAGTTAAGAATAGGCTCTGCTCTCTATGTGTCTACTACTTTTCTCAACTTTTACATCCATGTTACTTCAAACAACTTGTCCAACACTAGAGCCAAACTCTCTTGGCTTTGCTGTCATATCTACTTCATTCATTTTAATGGACCACCTTTTGACACCAAGACCAAAAAATTTGGCCTCATGAGTATTTATCAGAACTGTACAAAGACTGAGAATTCAGCTTACAGCACATTTTTCACCAATTATTCTTTTCATTATCCTTATGCAGGAACCCTCACCAAAGAGCAGTCTGATATTGCGGTAGTCACTACACTAACCTCAATTTTTGCAGAACTGCCTTTAGATAAGGAATGAAAGAAACCCAAGGATTCTAGGAAAAAAAAAAAAAAACAAACCCTATGTCCAACAGATACCATGTGAAAAGTTTTTTATATCCTTTATTGCCCAGAGCAATCCTCTCCAGGCCCAAGGTTGAATTCAATCCTCCAAATTCAAAGGTAAATTTTCTTGAGACTTTTACAGGATTTTCTTAATCATTGTGAAACCTGGATATAAACGTGAAGTTTTCAATGCCACTTAGATACTGTTCATTGATTATTTTTTTGAATTCACCATCTACATGCCCATGTTTTCCTCTCTGTTACAACTGTTTCTTCACCTGCCTGAAACCAGAAGATTTCTTCTTTTTCTTCCGTTTCCAAGTTTCTCAAAGTTCTCTCTCCACCCAGCGCTGCCATTTTATTTTAGTTCCTGAATAAAACCTCAGTGTTTCTCAACAAAGTACAGAATTTCTTCCCCTAAACAACCTTGCTACCAGTGCCTCTTT